GAAGCTGTGCTGAACCAACTGGGAATCACAGGACAAGACGAACAGCTGTGTCTTCAGACAGTGGAAGGAACTGGAAAACCTCAAGCATCAACTAGAGTGAAGCTAGAGCTGAGCTCTGTGGCCCCTGGGGAAACTCGAAGAATCATCGTGCCTGAGGCGTGGTCTGTTCCATCTCTCGACATCTCCATGCCGAACGTCTGCAAGAAGCAGCGGGAGAAGTGGCGTCACATCAAGGACTTGGACATTCCTCAGTGCTCCCATGGACAGGTGGAACTGTTGCTCGGAGCTAACGTCAGCGAAGCAGTCATCCAGCAAGAGGTCCGGGTTGGTCAACCAGGCCAACCGATAGCTGTACGTACTGCTTTTGGTTGGACCCTGACTGGCGCTGTATCCGACCTGCACCCTGGAAAACATGGACGAACTAGAAGAGCGATGTTCATCCAGAAAGGCTCCGCTGCTGACGAGGAACTGGACAACATGCTGAAGGACTGGTGGACAACTGAATCCTTCGGAGCCAAGTATGAAAGGTCAGTGTCACAGTCGAAAGAAGACCGTCGAGCGCAAGAGCTTCTAGAGTCAACAACCACCAAGTTAACCGGCAACCGCTACGAGACTGGCCTCCTCTGGAAGACTGATGACGACACGCCGTTTCCAGACAGCAAGGTGATGGCTACAAAGAGACTACATGGCACCGAGAGGCGTCTGGTAAACGATCAAGAGAAAGCAGCAGCTTACCAGGCCACGATCGATGCATATGTAAAAAAGGGCCACGCCAGAAAGCTGTCCAGGGAGGAGGCACAGCTCCGGCTACCCAGACGCTGGTTCCTACCACACCATGCCGTGACTAATCCCAATAAGCCAGGCCGCTTCAGGATAGTCTTCGATGCGGCAGCCAGATCGTACGGAACATCGCTGAATGACAAGCTCCTGACCGGACCAGACCTGCTGAAGAACCTCACCGGCGTCCTGCTCCGTTTCCGAGAAGAAAAAGTCGGCATGGTGGCAGACATCCAAGAAATGTACCACCAGGTCCGTGTCATCGAGAAGGACCGACCTGCGCTCAGCTTCCTGTGGCGCGACCTGGATCAAACTAGAGAACCAGACATCTACGAGATGCAGGTGACCATCTTCGGCGCCAAATCGTCTCCAGCGTCTGCCAACTACGTCCTCCAAAGAACAGTCGCGGACCATGGAGAAGACTGCGGGCTGCCAAAGAAGGCCGTGGAAACTGTGAAGAACAGTTTCTACATGGACGACTTCTTACGATCAGAAGAACATGAAGATGATGCGTTGAAGACGACGAAGCAGGTGACAGAGACACTCTCCCGAGGCGGCTTCCATCTATCCAAGTGGGTAAGCAACTCGCGGCGCGTCCTGGAGAGCATTCCCCGAGAGAAGCGCGCCCAGCCGGAACTAGACCTCACAGAAGCGGAGCTGCCCACACAAGGTGCCTTGGGAGTGGTCTGGGATGCTGAAAAGGACAGGCTGAGCTTCAGATTCCGAGACTCAAGCGTCCCGATGACAAAGCGGGGAGTCCTCCAAAGGACTGCGTCGATCTTCGATCCTCTGGGGATCGCCGCGCCCTTCGTCATCAGAGCCAAAATGTTCATGCAGCAGCTCTGGACCAAGCAACTGGACTGGGACGACGAGCTGGATCGTGAGGAGCAGAAAGAATGGGAAGAATGGCTCCAAGAACTGCCAGCACTGAGAAACATCAGTGTCCCACGCTGCCTCCGCCCAACATCAAGTGACACAATAGCGCGTGAGCTTCATGTCTTCTGCGACGCATCAGAAGGAGCGTTCGGAGCAGTCGCTTATCTCCGTACGACCTCACCAGACAGCACGCATCACTGCTCGTTCATCATGAGCAAGACACGAGTTGCACCGCTGAAGAGACTGTCGATCGTCAGACTGGAGCTGCAGGCAGCAGTGCTCGCAGTGCGCTTGGTGGACGCGCTCCAAAAGGAGATACCAGATCAAGTCAAGAAGGTCACCTACTGGAGCGACAGCCGGGTCGTCCTGCAGTACATCAGCAACGAGAGCAGACGATTCCATACATTCGTCTCAAACAGAGTGGCAGAAATCCACGACCTGTCAGACAAAGGTCAGTGGCGTCACTGCCCAGGACGACTCAACCCAGCCGATCTGTGCTCCAGGGGTGAGACAGTGAAGGAGCTCGCCGACAACCCTCTCTGGCTATCCGGCCCAGACTTCCTCCGAGGCGACGAAGAAGGGTGGCCAGAGCAGCTTCACGTTCAGAAGCTGGCTGAAGAAGACGTAGAAGTGAAAGTTGGAGCCTTCGCCACAGTCACGGTGAAGGATCCAAAGGCAGCACTGCCGACACCGAGCAAATTCTCGTCTTGGACAAAATACAAACGCACGGTGGCCTGGATCCTGCGTTTCCCTCGCAACTTGAAGCTGAAAGGCGAGCAGAAGCGACAGCGAAACCTGGGCCCACTGACCGTGTCAGAGCTCCGTGACGCGGAGAAGAACATCATCCAGATGGTGCAGGCGGAGGCCTACAGGACCGAGCTGCACCAGTTACAGGCGGGTCAGCAGCTCAACAAGAAGAGCGGCATCGCCGACCTGTCACCAATCTTGGACGCTGATGGCATCTTACGAGTCGGGGGGCGCCTAGGAAATGCCCCACTGGACGAAGACGCTCGCCATCCCATTCTACTCCCAGCAGGTTCTGATGTGGCGAGGATGATCATCTACGAAACGCACCGTCAGCTCATGCACGCCGGCGCAGAACACACCCTGAACGAAGTTCGCCAGAAATTCTGGATTCCGAGAGGTCGTTCGCAGGTGAAACGAGTCCTTCTCGACTGCACCGTCTGCCGCAAGAGAAGAGCAAGACCTCAGCCTCCAAGAATGGCCGATCTTCCCGCTGACCGGTTTAACACCTCCCATCCGTTCAGCTTCGTGGGGATCGACTATTTCGGACCGCTCACAGTCAGGCGGTTCCGCAAGACAGAAAAGAGGTACGGCCTGCTGGTGACGTGTCTGGCCACGCGAGCCATTCATCTGGAAGTGTCCAACAGCCTGGATACTGACAGCTTCCTGATGGCCTTCCGACGATTCGTGGCACGCCGAGGTCGTCCAAAGAAGGTTTTCTCCGACAACGGAACAAACCTGAAAAGCGGTGAACGTGAACTCCGAGAGGCACTTACACAGTGGAACCAGCAAAAGATCTCTGACGAGCTGAGCCAGCAGCAGATCGAATGGTGTTTCAACCCACCAGCCGCGAGCCACATGGGCGGCATATGGGAAAGAATGCTCGGCGCAGTCAAGAGAGCGCTATCGGTCGTGCTCGGCGGCGAGGTGACAACAGACGAGGTGCTGTCAACTGTCATCTGCGAAATAGAGAGCATGATCAACAGTAGACCGCTGACACACGTCACAGACGATGTGAGAGACCTGACAGCTCTCACACCGAACCATTATCTCCTGGGGAGGGGAAGCCGTTGTCTTCCCCCTGGAGTCTTCAGCAGCCAGGATCTGCACTCCAAAAAAAGATGGAGGTACGTTCAAGCACTGACGGACCATCTCTGGCGAAGATGGAAAAGGGAGTACCTCCATACCCTGATCCACAGGAGAAAATGGCAAGCTGACCAACGGAACCTAGCAGTCGGCGACGTGGTGCTGCTAGCAGAATCTGACACGCCCCGAGGTCACTGGCCGCTGGCGCGCGTGCTGCAAGTGTTCCCGGGGCCTGACGGCCGAGTCCGCGCCGTACAGCTCAAGACGGCAGCAGGTGGTACGTATACCCGGCCTGCCACGAAGGTGGCGCTTCTGGAACTTGCCCCGTCGCCTCCTCAGCCATCTCATTAGCCGACCGAACGCAAACAAGAAATGATGCTGGCTGGCTGTGGACTGTCGAGCCCACGCCCCCGAACGAGCTGAAGTAAGAAAGACTGTTGTGCGCGTACGTGCCTACCGACGCACTCACTCTTCATCTGTATTTTTTCATTGCCTGAACCTGAACTTCATAACTCGCGCATGTGGCCGTTTGTGTTTGGTAGTTTATTCGATTCAGGCGTGTAAATCGTACTTGTTTGAACGTCTTTGTCGGTGATCGTGTCATTTTGTGTTCTCCCTGTGGTCAAACACGGGGGTGGAGTGATGTCACCGACGAAAGTGTTCGGACCAACCCGCGCTACCGCTGTGCCGCCGTGATAGCCGGCCGGCCGCCGTGCCACCGCGGCGCCGCCGCCGCTCGCTGCAGCCGTCCCGCCGCCGCACCGCCGTCACCCCGTCCAGACTCAGGATGAGTTGTGAGGCATTGTGCAGGGCGGGGCCGCGAGCAGACGCGGCCGGCGGTCGGTACGCGTGCCGCCGACGCTGCCGAGCCGCAGCAGCGCCGCGGCCGCCACCGAGACAGAGATATAAATTAAAGACATGTCGTTTTAAGGCACGTAGGCCGCCAAGCTGGCGCCTTCAGCCACCTCCGCTGCAGTGCAAGTTCGCACTCGTTTTGCACACGTCTTAAGCATTGCGTATAAAATGTGGGTCACGTACGACCCCGGCAGAGTCTCACTTCGACCGTCGCGCTGTGCGCACGGACTGATCTGCCCCGCTCGACGCCTCGCCCGGCTGAGCGGGGACAGAGTACAGAAGCACGCGCGCAGACCGACTCTCCTGCGCGCAGCCGCGCCCGGCGGGGCAGTGTCAGTGCTTCAGATTGTACAGCGAAAGTGAATTGTGCTCCGTGTCTGCGTGTTTCATCTACCGGTTTTCTTCACAACTGCTTCCGCTTCTTGCTTCGCGTATACTTCAATAAATCCTCTACGGGAAATCTTCACGTCTATCTACTACTGAAAATCGCCGAATATCAAAAACCCAGGAGCTCACATAGCAGGCGGGCGGGCTACGAATGTCGCACAAACTCACCGAATAAAATACAGTCCACATCCAACCAGAAAAGAACTCCGAACGACAGTTTGTCGGCGACAATGACTACCACAATGCCTGACATGGATTCTCTGTCCCTGTTGCAGCGATGGGCATGGGCCTGTGCGTGGCGTTCATCGCCTTCGTCCGCCTGCCGTCGCTGAAGGTGTCCACGCTGCTCCTGATGGGCCTGCTCATCTATGACGTCTTCTGGGTCTTCTTCTCGCCCTACATCTTCAGTGCCAACGTCATGGTCAAGGTATGCGATTGTGTGCGTGTGCTGAGTTAATCGGAGGACACTAAGCATGTCTGGGTGTCAATGACCTTTTGGTATTAATTTGTGTGCGTGACCAATCGGTGACCGCTTCCTGTCGGCTGCGGGAGGGTTGCGCTTGTTCCACCGAGGTCGATAATAGAACTGACGTGTGCGTGCGTGGTCCGGTTTGCAAAATGAGCACCGCCGCTAGCCGCTATATGTGCATGCCTTATGGCATATCGCATAATTGGCATGCCTTCATTCTGCTGGGATCTTGCAACCGGGGTTCTTCAAACAGTGGATTGCCTATTGCGCGCGGTGCTACAGCCTACAGGTACTCTAAAGCATATCCTCGGCTTCGGTCAGTCACTCTCAGCCCCCCTCCCCCCCCCCCCCTCCGTACATGGAACGGTTACCGATGGAAGCGATCGACCTGCGCGCAGCAGACGGCGCCCCCCCCCCCCCCTGTCGGACCGTGTCAGTGGGCTCCGTACCGATCTGTTACAGAATTATTAACACTGAGCCGTTCCAATGGCGCGTCTGTTTGCGGACCAACGACAATCGACCACAAACCACACCGACGAGCCCGATCGCAGCGCTACCCGGCGGCGGACAGCGCAACTAAGCTTCCCGCTTCTGCCGACAGGTGGCCACGCGGTCGGCCGATAATCCCGTGGGGATTATGGCCAAGAAGCTGCACCTGAATAGTATGATGCGCGAGGCGCCCAAGCTCTCTCTGCCGGGGAAGCTGGTGTTCCCCAGTATGCGCACGACTGGACACTTCTCCATGCTGGGGCTTGGAGACATTGTAAGTACGAGGGTGTGTTGACCGCTATTACATGCCTATTGCAACATTTGTGCAATACGCCGCTGTCATTTGTCGGGTTAATTTGGTTCAGCGTTGGCTGGAACGTTATTGCCATTGCGGCTGCTTCATTTATGCAGTACCTCGTTGCTTGAAATTACAATTGATTTTGTTCCAAGACCTGCACAACTATAACCGTTGAAATATTCATTGAATACGAGCTACCACTGCTGCCTAGTGCCTACTATTACGAATGTTGTGTATTTCACATGGAACTGACATTGATATGGCTGGTCCCTTCAGTTATGCATCGTTCTTCCTTTGTATTAGAACCTCACCCACCCCACCCTTCACTGACCTGACCTTACAAATCTCTAAGCCCTTGCCCTTGACCTTACCTCTAACCCCATGCGACCGCTGAACCCGTTTTGACCTGTCACCTTTTGTTGACCTGATGGCTCTCGATGACCTGGGACCCAATGGTGAGTGGTGACCCGTGACCCGTGATGACCTCTGACCCGTGACCTGTGACCTATAGTGACGTCTGACCCCTTGCTGACCTCTGACCCGGTGTTGACCCCTGACCCGTCCACCAGGTGATGCCCGGCCTGTTGCTCTGTTTCGTGATGCGGTTCGACGCGTACAAGCGGGCGCAGGCGCTATCGGGAGCTGACGCCACGGTGCCCAGCAACGGACACCTGCATAAAATCACGTGAGTGCTGGCACCGCTACCAAGCCCATGAGAGAGAACGTTATCACTGGCAGTTGAGCACCTATGTCGAGTCTCTTATATGATGCATCTGCTTTTAAGTAATAATCGACCTAACGCGGTCATCACGATCCATAGTCCTGTTCTTACATATGAAATGACGCCCTAAAGTATGTTTGACGTTGCTCGTCATGCATTTTCCCTGTCGCCTGACGCTGTCCAGTGGCTGCAGATATTTCCACTGCTTTATGACGCTCTGTGCCGCGGATATTTCCACTGTTGTATGACGCTCACTATGCACCTTTATGTTGCGGATACTTCCACTGTTGTATGACGCTGTTGTATGACCGTGTGCCGCAGTTATTTCCACTGTTGTATGACGCCCGCCTACCCCCCTGTGCCGCAGGTATTTCCACTGTTCGCTGATTGGCTACTTCCTGGGCCTGGTGACGGCCACCGTGTCGTCGGAGGTGTTCCGGGCCGCTCAGCCGGCCCTGCTGTACCTGGTGCCGTTCACGCTGCTGCCCCTCCTCACCATGGCCTACCTCAAGGTACGAAACTTTCCCCACTCCCATCCAACCCCTGACCCTCCTCACCATGGCCTACCTCAAGGTAAGGGACTGTCCCCGTCCGTTCCTCTACCCCTGTCCCTGAAGCTCCTTAGCATGGCCTACCTCAAGGTAAGGAACTGTCCCCGTCCCTTCTCCGCTGCCCCTTCTCACCATGGCCTACCTCAAGGTACGACATGGCCCCCTTCCTCTCCACTCCCTGCCACTACTTACCATGGCATATCTCAAGGTACGATATTCTCCCCGCTCCCATCCAACCCCTGCCCCTCCTCACCATGGCCTTCCTCAAGGTACGATATTCTCCCCGCTCCCATCCAACCCCTGCCCCTCCTCACCATGGCCTATCTCAAGGTACGGCATTTTCCCCACTCCCATCCAACCCCTGCCCCTCCTCACCATGGTCTACCTCAAGGTACGAAAATTTCCCCCACTCCCATCCAACCCCTGCCCCTCCTCACCATGGCCTATCTCAAGGTACGAAACTTCCTCCACTCCCATCCAACCCCTACTCCCTTATCATGGCCTACTTCAAAGTAAGAGACTGTCCCCGTTCCTCCTCACCATGGCCTACCTCAAGGTAAGGGGCCTGTCCCTTTTCTGCACCGCTCCTCATCATGACCTTCCTCAAGGTACGACGATAGTTTCCGCGCTCTCCTCCAACCCCGTTCCTTCTCCCCATGGCCTGTATCTCAAGCTAGGGACGTGTCCCTTCCCTGGGCCCTCCTCACCATGACCTACCTCAGGGTAAGGGATGACGGAAGTGTCATCGTCTTTGCTCTGTACCGTCTCTCGGCGTACCTAATTGTTATATTTCTCCCTCTCCCTTCACTTAACCCTTGAGCTCGTCACCATGGCCTACCTTAAGGTTGGGAACGTTTTTCTGTAACGCCTGCAGATCATGGGCCATCGGACATCGGCCATCGGCCACTGGTCACTGGTCATTGTTCGTGATCCGGTCCATCTCCTGTCCATATAGTGTGACCGTTGACCGCTGACCGTCGCCTGACCACACCTGACCGCCCCTCCCCGTCTGTCCCACAGGGCGACCTGCGCAGAATGTGGAGCGAGCCGTTCATGGCCTACAGCACACCGAAACAGCTGGACGTGTGATACTGCCACCTGTCGGTCACAATCTGAACCTGAAGTCCTCCAGCGCGGCGCTGCCGGCGCCCCGCCCAAGGCCCGTTCCGTCTAGTCTGTGCGGGCGGCTGACCCGATCTCGCCGCCGTGGCTCGCGCCGGCGCGCCGTTTTACAGACTCTGGCGCGCCGTTTTACGCCCGCGGCGTCCCGCTCATCGTATCTGTGTTGTAATGGCCGCGCTCGACCCCTGCGTCGACCGGCACTCGGCGGCGAACAAGCCTAGTCTTTCTCCGTAGTGCTGACTGTTCCCTTCGGCCGCGCGCGCTCCGGCGATACCTGGCGCGCGGCGGACGGCCGCCCCGCCGCCGGCGGCCGCCGAGGGGCGCATTTCAGAGTGTGTGTGTATGTGACTGACTGTGCGCGCCGCGGTGACTCCGAGATTGGTTTTATAGTGTGTCATGCCGGCACGCGTTCTGAGCTACTGTGTGCGTGTGCGAATTGTGTTACTACATCTGCATCGTGTGGGACCGGGTGCTGGAACTGAGAGCGACAGATCTGCAGTCTAACCAGGTTTTGTAATCAGTACATGTTGTTTTTAACTATTGTGTTTTGGTGGCTTGGAACGAGTGTCTGAGGATAAGCGAGTGATGACCGGACAAAGGATTGTCATCGGTGCCCCGTAGTGAAACGATTTCTGCAGAAGACTGAGTTTTCACTGAATTAAGCCGTTTCACTGACTTAACTCGCCCATTCCGTGCTCCTTCGCACTCGTTTGCACCTCCAACACATCGCCTACATTTCTTGACGGGGTTGGCGTGGCAGGGACAACACCGTTTAACCCTCGCATGTGTGCGGCGTTTGCCAGCTTCTAATGTGTAGGGGGGGGGGGGGTCGGTTGGACCCCCCCCCCCTTGCCGTTTGGCCCCTGATCGAGCTAGAGCTTCGCGGAAAAAACGAGCGTGTTGCCCGTGACGAGAGGAAGCCGATGATACCCAATTTTAAGGTCCTAGGTCATTGGTTGACCTTCCAGGTCAGGTCAATGACCCAAAGTCGGGAAAATCGGGACCTGTTAGAAAGTCGTAAAGTGTGGCTGCTAAGGGGTTTTTCGGGGTGCTGATCACGAATATCGTGTTAGTTTTGATCACAGATGATGTCTTGAAGCATTTAGACCAGGTCGGGTCAGGTCAGGTCAGGTCAACCAGTAGGCGTCGTGACGGGTATTCGTAGTACGTGTCAACCGCCTCTGACAGCTTCGTAACATGTTACGAAGTCACCAAAACTACTTCGTAAATGTTCAAATGGTTGCTAAATTCGAATTCAGCTCCAAAAACTAGCCTAGAAACATGTAAAACTCGAAAAAGTGACCCGAGGTCACCCGAGGTCACTAAAGGTCAATGACCTGACCTGACCTTCAGATGACCTTGACACAGACGGGAGTAACATCAAATCACATGTTTGAACGTTTGAAACCACGAAAAGCTTGCAAACACGTGGCTAGTGCGAGCCGACATACGCGAAATCGCGATTCCGGCCAAACATGGTCTCGGAAAAGAGGTCACAGGTCAAAGGTCATTTGGGTCAGGGTCATGAAATTTTCAGGGTAGGTGTCAAATTGATCAATGCGAGGGTACTGAAAGTTTCGTCGCGATCGGCCGCTTTTTACGCGAGTTATTCGCGAAAAACCATGGGGGGGGGTCCATCCGACCCCCCCCCCCTACACATGCGAGGGTTAACTTTCACCGCAGGAGATCCGAGCAAGCACCGGGCTTTGGGATGAGGATGGGGTTATGATTGGAGGACCGCTTTTGTTTGTTTGTTTGTTTTGTTGGGTTAGGCTCTTTCGGTCCAGTAAGACCATTTCAGAGCCGGGAGGATGATAGGATATAGGGGGAGACATTGGTCTGGGCAGGCACCCTAGTGAGTCGCCGGGGCTGAGCCCGTCCGAAGACAGGCCACCCAGCCCCAAGGCACTCACTGCACCCGGCCCTCGGGAGCAGCGGTGCCGCTCCAAGGGAGCAGCCCGCATGAGATAAAGTTGCCTGCCCAGCCCGGAAGGGGGTTGTGGCGTGGAGGAGAAGGACTTCAGTATCCTGAGGATAGAAGCACGGACAGGTGTGGAGGACCGCGTTGGAGACCGCATATGTTGAAGGACTGGTCACACCAGCGATCCCAATAGGTGAAGGACTTAACACAAACGCGACAGAGCGGCGAAGATCCCGGACGGTGTTGCCCCCATCCCCCACCCCAACCCAATGGCGCCGCCCATCGGCGGATTTAGGGAACTACCCATCGTGACTGTGGCCTTGACTATCCGACTCAACGACTTGATGCCACCAACCACGATACCAGGTAGTCAGAACGACAAACACATGTTCAAGCTTCGTAAATATTAGCATCAGTTCCATAAAATACACAAAAAGACGCAATGATCCGATCTGCATAACATGGACAACGAAACGACTCCTTCGCCGGTCTCCTCAAACGCTGTCCTTAGTCAGCTCTCCAGTAACAGTTGGCCTCGCATCGCACTCAAGTCACTGATAATTCCACGTCACACCTCGTTAGCTCACGTCACTGGGGTGGGTCCCCTCGACACGTCACACACTTCGGCACCAGTCGGGTCTTTTCATGTTCGAAGCTCTTCCACGCGACACGCCGAAAAACAGACGAAAACACACCACGGATAGAACTGCAGCGCCGATCCCCCACCCCTCCCGTTGCACTAGGTAAGCATTAAAACTGTCCACTCTGGTCTCAAGCCGCGGGCATCCGCAAATAGCCGAAGAGCACCGAGACATAGCGCCTTTCACAGACAACACGGCGACAACAGACACTAAAACTGCCGTTCTACAAGCTCTGAAAACTCGTTACCCGAGTTGGCCTCAGGTACCCCCCCCCCCCCTCCACAGACAGCACGGGGCTGCGTATAAATACAGCGGTCATCATGATCGTCCGAGCGACTATAGCGCTCAAAGAAACGTACAAAATCTCCACTTGGCCTCTCACATTACAGCATTTCGGCCCGCCTTTCGATGTCCTAACGCGTCATAGGGCGGTGGCGCCGGGCTGAAGCCAACACTGAATTCATTTCACCAGTCACTGATCATAAGATCACTCAGCACCAGTCACTGATCACCAGCGTCACCAAACCGCTTCAGCCGAACAGCTTGTCGAAACACTGGTGGCAGTAGGGCTTCTCGGCCTGCTCCTTGAACGTGCCCTTGTTGAGCTGTTTCAGGCAGAACGAGCACACAAAGTGCTCCGGGTGGAACTTGCGGAACATTGCCGTGATGCACCGACCTGGAGACGGAGGTCATAGGTCAGATTAATGGTGGATGGAGAGAAGAACTCGGCGAAGTTCTATGTACCTAGAGTGCCGACAACAGTCAAAGCATCGGACACTAGGCGTAGGAAAAATATCATGCACAGTACTACAGTCATGTGACTTTCAAAAGATAATCAAATTACTAAATACATCTGTCACAAGACAGAAATACTGTCAAAGCCCGAAAGACACTCATAAACTGAAAAGCAGACACCACACACACTGCCAGACATCCACGACAAACAAACAAACACACCAGCATCCGATGCCATTTTTCACAAGTCCGCTGGATCCAGACGAGAAATGCGGGATATTTTTATTTCGCGTTACTACGAAGGCCATCAATCAGAAGCGAGCACGCGGTGTCATCAGAATCATTGGCTGCCGGCGCGATTATAAATAGGCGGTGATTAATGTAGAACGCCCTGAGTCAGCGCTGGTGCCACCTGCCACCAATGCTAGACCGATATTGGGACAGAACCGTGTCACTGGTTTCCGATATCGGGAGGATAGCTCGATATTTGAGATATTCACGACAGACTCGTCTCACTGTTAGCTCAACATCGTGACAGAGCGGTGGCATTGCCAGATCTGCACGACAAATCCATGCCACTGCAATATCGAAATCAGGACCAATCGGTCACTGCTGAATTGACACCATGACACGGACCCGTGTTAAAGCTAACTCGATCAACAGTGGAACAAAACCGTGTCCGGTGTCACTGCTAGCGTCCATCGACTACGGGCCGGTGTCACTGGGAGTTGGCACAGACTGATGCCACAGCTACAACTACCGTAGGACAGACGCCGGCGCCCGTGACTAGTGGTCTTGTTGGCTAGGGTCATCACATCACACAGTCCGGTAAGGGTAAGGTGAGAGGATAACGGGCTAACGATTTAGGTTGAAGGTGACCAACAATTGAGCTCAGATATGAACATGAATGGATGTGGTGCCAATAATAGAAGGCAACGATGAGTAATACTGATCCAGCCTTCGCAATAAACGCCTCATTGAATCTCAAGCTCGACTTTTATACGCATTCCTTTTCTATCTAACGTCGACGTTTACTTATATCCAGCTCCATAAACCCGAGTTTAGTACGCTCTGGACCAGATCACCGTCATAACTCAGCGACCGGGGACGGAGCTTAGCTGACCAGCGACCAGTCCGTAGCTGGCACCCGCCACCGGACATACAACTCAGCACCTGGGTGGCGCGCCCTCCAGCTGTCTCTAACACCGGAGCGAACTGGTGCATAGTGGAGAACTGGTGCAAACGTCTGACCCAGACCGACATTCGGCACAACTCTGAGTCACCAGACTGAGATATGAGCACCGACTCAGCTCGACTACACAATGATGTCGATCTGGGGTGTACGCCAAATCAAACAGTACACCCACGTGCGGCCCGCAGTGCCGGCCTCGCTTCTCAGCGGAACCGGAGAGTGGAGCACTGTGACGCGTGAGCTCTCACTGCACTGACAAGTACCCGCCATTGCGGCAGACGTTTCCCCTGCTAATCCAGGCTGACGGTAAGTCGTCTCTGCGCTCCTGAGCACACATTCCGGCGGCCAAAATCAGCTCACCGTGATCACAGGCGGTACTATTCACACAGAATCGGGGCTGACGCCGTGCTTTGATGACCTTCTGGACAGCACCACGGCGGGCAGCCCGGCCCTTAAACACCCTCTCCCCTCCCCGAAAATAGACCATTGGAGACCGCCAGCTTCAGCCTCCGGTCCCCACCTCAACCTACCAAACCCAAACGAAACACTCAAACTCAAACATAAGAACAGGAGTCAACTTCCTAGCATCCATTGACTCCACTGACTCGGTTGAGTCGTCTAAAGGACAGGAACAGCCAGCAGCGAGTCAGAGTGAGACACTCCGATGCCAGAGTGAGACACTCCGCCGCCAGAGGGCGTGAAACAGAGGCAGCGGGGACGGTGGCGAAGCGAGGAGCCGCCTGGCAAGGACTGCGACAGGCGACAGCTCAGGAGCCAATTAACGGGATACGTTGTGTTTGGGATGCAAAGCAGATATAATTAGAGCTGTGTGGAGAATGGTATATCGGGAGGGGATGGCGAGTTGAGAGACGAAATACAGAGCAAACAGACAGGTGCTGCAGGCGCTGGAGACAAAACAAGTTTTTTTTTTGCTTTAATTATGCACGAAATTGGAGACCGGATCGGACCATACGGCGGTGGCTTTGGCCAATCGGCGTCCATCTAACTGATAGGCTGAATGGTGACCACCGGCTGCTCTGATTGGCTGATCGGCGACCAGCGGCGGCTCTGATTGGCTTATCAGCGACCAGCGGGGACTCTGATTGGCTGATCAGCGATCAGCGACCAGCGGCGGCTCTGATTGCCCGATCAGCGACCAGCAGCGGTCCTGATTGGCCGTTAGCCCAGCGACTGACCTGTGATTGGTTTGTTGCATCCGGCGCAGAGGGATCCCCGCTTGGCGTGGTAGTGCGTTTCGCAGTACGGCTGGCCCTCGTAGTCGAAGAACGAGCCGCCCTGAAATGACTGCTGGCAGTCCTGTAAGTGGATAGGTCAAAGGTCAATGACAGGGCAGTCAGGTCACTGTCAGTGGCGGGTCAGTCAGGGTGAGTCAGATCATGGTCAGTGTCGGTCCAGGTTATGGTCAGAGACATCTCACGCCCAGGGTTAAACAATGGTTCATCAAACAACATAGATATTGGTCCAAAGGTGGTTTATGGTCCAAAATATCAGACCGATGCAAAAAGATCGCCCGATTCATGATTCGAAAGCGTCAATACAATTCACTCAGGCGTCATTACTCTTACATGTGACCACTGACAGTTGCAAGAAGACATCACAGAGCGGGCAACTAACGACAGCTCGCTAACCAACACAATCATAGTCATGACGCCCAGGACATCACAAATGCGCACTTTGAGAGCCCAGTGGGGCAGTTTTCACTCCCAGTCATTGACCCACAAATCACAAAACCCCAACCCCAACAGGTGAATAAACAGTTCCAGTGAAGTCCTCAGAACCTCAGGTTCTTTCCAGAAGATGCCCCGCCGCTGCGTAGCGCTGGTCTGACATCACCTTCCCCTACACCCAGGGAGGAAGGGGGGAGGGAATCGGCGGCTGGCACGGCGGTCGTGTTGTGATTTGCCACGGGGACAACATGGGGCAGACGCCAGCGTCGATGGCCCAACGACCTCGTCGAAAGTCACCGCCCAATTCCCGTCACCTTCTCAGAACGGCGACCGAAAATATACGCCGCGGGGTAGAGGGAGGTGGGGTGGGGGTGATTATTTGTTGGATGGGGACGGGTGGAGGGTAGAGGTGGGCTTCGGGGGGGGGGGGGCGAATTAACGGCACAGGTGTCCGCTTTACCCAGCAGGTTCCCCGGTCTAGGGTGGCCACGGTTATGGGTCCACGTCAAAACAGCTAGTGACTATTGAGCTAGTGACTTTTGAGCTAGTACAAAAGAGCTAGTGCTTCAAAACAGCTAGTGACAACACAGCTAGCGCCAAAATAGCTAGTAATGCAAAATAGCTAGTGCATTAAATCAGCTAGTGACTAAACAGCTAGCGTCAATATAGCTAGTAGAGCAAAATAGCTAGTGCTTCATTATAGCTAGTCATAAGAGTAGGAACCATGGGTGCAGTGGGTGCAGTTGCACCCACAATAATTCTCCAGTGGGTGCAGACAATGTATTCTGCACCCACAATAATCTGGAACAAAAACCCCTTTTCTCATCAACACTACTTCCCATGCAACACAACATATTCAGGATATTTTGCCCACCACTATTAACCAGGACAGGTGGACCCAGTACAGCTTTAACCGTGATGGACTAGACAGCAAGAATGTAGCCACTAAGGGATGACGCACTAACTTCTACTGCATAGTCCGGCTGATGGTGAATTAGCCGGGTATGTGGACAGGGCTGACGGGCAGGTGACTGTTTTGGACGTCCGGAATGTGGCTACGTTTGTCCGGTTTTATAAATCCTTAGTTTTTGGGAGCGGTTCCAAAGAAAATATTTTCTATTAAAAATGACAAAACAAAACATCTTGCTCGCTGATTGGGTAGAGCATCAGTGTAGTGTTGTGTAATGTGTAGTTGTGTTGTGTAAAAGAAGAGACAAAACTAACCATAGCTTGGTGTCACACCGGCATCGGTTATATACCTTGTTTTTTTTTTAATTTTATTGTAGTGATAGGTTCATGTCTGAATTAGTTAATTCAGTAGTATATTTTTAACGGTTGATGAAAAAATGAGTTCTTTTTTGCCCTCTAAGTTGATTTCTAGGGAAGCATTTTCAATCGACAATTGAATGATCAACTCCCAACGCGCATGCCATCTACAACGTCACCTCTCTGAGTTGGACCACATCTCTCTCAAGCGCCGTGTGAAAAAGTAGCGGACATCTCCCCAGGGTGCGTGTGTTTGTGTGGGAGTCCCTTCCCCCGAGCCCACTCCCAGGGCGGGGGCGGGGGGCGGGGGCGGGGGCGGCCTTGGCGGCCGATCGCCACTAGTCCGGTGGGCGGCGGCGGCGGCGGCGGAGCGGGACAGGGTCTGGCCAGACGCCAGACAGGTGTCCCCGCGTCTGTTTGTACTGAACAGCCGGCGCAGCGGCGGCGCCTCTGGCCGGCCAGCTTCCAGCACGGAGCGGCGCCGAACGCTCCGCCGGGGGGTAGAGGCCAGTCTCGGACACGGCAGGGCCAGTTGGGGTAGCTAAAGTGAAACGCCGCAGAGGTGTGCGCGACTAACAACCAGGCCGAATGACGAGGGGCGTCAGTGGAAATATGAGAAGACACACTCCTTCCGGCGGCGAAGCTCAAGAAACTCCCTACTCGCGACACTCCAACGCCTAACGCCCGTCGCTGATATCCGCCCGAGCAGTACCGGTCCGAAAATATCAGTGAGGACCCGTCCGGCGGCCGCCAATCTCAACAGGACAGGCGGCTGCCACCGCACGGCCAATAACAACACAGGACATCAGGCCGTTATAGTCTTCAGCGCCGCCGCCGCCGCCAGGGTCTCACTCCGACACCTAACTATGGTCGGTCAAAAGCTCAGACAGAGGCGAGGGTAGGACCGGACGGGTGGCTCCAGCCCCGCCCCTGCCACGAATGTGCCGTGGTATCGAACTGAGGGGCGCGCTACGTCGACACCCACCCCACCCGACCCCAGCCCGTGCTGGCACCGCCCCACACGACCTCTGGATGACGACGCGACACGCTCTTTGGCAGCTACTAGAAAAAGCCGCCGACTCCGCCCCTGCTTCGCCCGAACGGCGGTGGCAGCGGCGGAGGCGGGGCGGGGCGGGGCGGGGCGGGGCGGCGGATTCAAACGCCGCCCCGCCGCACCAGACCGATGGCTGTTTTTGTTTGTTGTTTTGTTTTGTTTTCACGTTTTATTGAACATCACTACAGTACAGTTCACGCCAAAGAGCGGTCGCGTCATCATCTCGCCAGCGGCACGGCGCGGCGCGCGGTGTGCGCACGACGGAGCGCTCTGCCCCTCTGTCCCCTGGCGCTCTCCCCTCTCTGTGTCCCGTGTCCCCTCCCCAGCCCGAGGCGGGCTGTCGTGTCCCCCAGCCCGGCCCGGTCCGGCCAGGTCGTTTCGACCCAGCCGCATCTATTCCTCATCGCTTTCTTCGTCCTCATCGCTGTCATCATTGACGCCAGCGCATTCGGGGCACATCGGTTTGTTGTCCACCTTGTAGAAGCTCTTTCCTCGCATTGGTGTCTGGCAGTCCTTCAACAGAGAGTCGCCAGCGCGTCAGCCAATCTGGAAAACTGAACAGGTAGTTGGTCAGACATAACAACACAAACAGAATGTTGGCATACCTTGCAGACGAAGCACTCGGGGTGCCACTGGGCGTTCAGGGCGGAGATGTAGTTCTCCATAATGGCGCGCCCGCAGCCGCCGCATTTTGGCGCGAACATGTCCAGGTAGTCGGCACGGCAGTAGGGCTTTCCTTCCTTCTCGTGGAAGCCATCGGCGCCGAACTGCTGACCGCAGTGGGTGCAGAAGAAGTGCTCCGGGTGCCACGTTTGCTCCAGGGCCGTGACACATTTCTGCCAGGGGGACGAGATCAGTGTCAGGTCAGGTCAGACTGAAGGGTCGCCGGTCAAGAGTGCAGATGTAAGGGGTGGGACCGGAAGGGAAGGATAATCAAGGAGGGCGGGCTATGTCAGTCGGATTCGGAAGTACAGTCAGTCAAGGACAGGGAAGGTTACTGAAGGATAACAACGATGATGGGTGAAGGTCATGGTTACGTCGGGAAAAGATCATCATAGGGGAATAGTCAACAAATGGCGCAGCCTGCCAACCACCAGCGTAGCCATCACTCTAAAAATAGACCGGGCACGGGAGACGCAGCTCCCACCCGACTTCAGCCGGCCCCCGGGGCGATCGGCTGACGTCACCAGTACGCCAGTGACGTCACACATCAGCCAATGACGTCAGAGACTGACGTGTGGCAGCTCCGCCGTGGTGCGCCGCCACTCACATCCAGGATAGGCCCGTTGCAGTAGGCGCAGCGCGGCGAGAACAGGCTGTGGTAGTCGGGCTCGCAGTATGGCCGGCCGTCGCGCTCGAAGAAGTTCTTATTCCCCAGCTCCGACTGGCAGTGGGCGCACGTAAAGTGCTCCTTGTGCCATGTCTTGCCGAGCGCTGTGATCACCTGAGAACGAACAGAACAGGGAGAGGTCAGAGAACATCCACACACCCCATCCTCCACACATCCAACCAATGACTGACATCAAGCCAATCTCTGACGCCCACCATCGCGCGGCCGTCTTCCAAATTCCTCTCTCCACCTCTGCCTCGTCCTCTCGACAGAGCGGCGGCGGCGACAGCGCACCTGACCGACGATGGGCTTGTCGCAGGCGCCGCACATGCCCTTCTGTGTGGTGGTGATGCCCTGTTTATTCATGTCCTCCTGCAGGTTTCCCAGCATAGAGTCCAGCTGGCGAGATTTCACCGGCTTTGCGTAAGCCGGGTCGGCGGCGGGCGGGTCGTTCGTCTCCTCGACGACGGTGCGCTGCAGCGAGCTGGCTTGGAGCTGAAACAGAGAGAGAGAGAGAGGAAGGTCAGAAAAGACAGAAACATACAGAGACAGAACAGAGACAACAGCGACACACAGGGAGAGGAAGAATAAAACAGCAGCGCTGCAAAAACCGGCCTTACATGAGGTTAGTGCGAAGCATTGTAAGAGCAACAGCACGACCCGCCGTCAGCAGCTGTTAACTGTTAGCGACCGGTGCGCCTGAACAGGGCTGCACAGTGGGTACCGTGAGCGGTCGGCACTGCGGCGGCGGTCTGCCCCCGGCAAATGAGCCAGTCCGGCGGCCACCAACGCTCCAGCTGCTGGACGACTCCTCCGGCGCGCGCCGCTGGCGGTCACGTGACCGGCCCGTCTATAAATACGCCGCCGGTTGAGTCGGCACCAAAACATCACCTTATTAATAGGTGTCCAATCAGCCAACGCTCCGTCGTCCGTGTTTGTGTGTGTGTCTGTGTGAGGTGGGTCGTCAAAGAGCGTGTTCTAGAGTATGGTGGTACTGGGTCGGTGTCCAGCGGTGGATCCCTCTGTGGTCTCCCGACCCCCTCCGGGCCGTCCAGACCGGTCTAGTCCGTTCAGACTCGAGTCAGAGCTCCAGTCGGAGGCCAATAGTGAGTCACCGACCACCGAGGCGACAGCGGAGGGTGCTGAGGGGCCCCAAGCGAGCCAGCCGGCGGGGCCACACCCTCACAGACTGGGGCAGGTCTTCACACCGGCGCCCACATATTCAGAAATACAAGTCGGCATATAGACGGCAACTGCATACGCACAGATAATAGGCCAACACATCTACGCAACACATCGTATCTATACAACACATCACATCAGCATTAGGTACTGACTGGGACAGGACAGTTCTTCAGACCACAGCCCACAAATTCAGAAAGGCATGTGGGCACATTGAGCAGCATTTTCATACGTAATCACAAATGCCAAAACATCTACACATACCCCGTACACATTAGCCATACCGATACTTAAAACCGATACCAAAACCTGACGTCCGAACATTTTGCCAGCATCATCTATGATCCAGGGACGTTCGGCGAAACAGTCTTCCTATTGAATGAGCTCGAGAAAGGTGATCAAAAATGGCTTATTTGAAATGAGAGCGAACGGCTCATACTGACACAAACAGAGCGAACCTGTGCTCAACCAAACTATAGCAGATACAAATGTGACAGGCTTTAGCGGAACTACGAGACCGAAGCACGGTTGTCCACATACTTGGCCATGCCTTCATAAATACTGCACGTGGGCGCTCGGATGATGCCATCCGAACAGCTTATTTGAACGTTTGTGACGAAAGCAGCTAGCCAATGACATGAAACAAATCGATTGTGGAACGTATCCACGAAGTTGATTGCCTCGTCAAACGAAACACCAAAGAGAAATGCTCCAATCCCGGTAATCGTTGGGTCGACACATGCTTTAGCCGTGCATCGTGTAACCAGCATTGGTAACAACTAGGCAGTAATGTTAGTAATATTGCCTGTCAGAAGTTCGTGCATTTCACATTCAGCCGTGAAGAAACCAATATCATTTTATATGGCCAGCTTCAAGTAACACAAAAAAAAAAAAAAACACACCCTGACGACTACCTTCGACTAACCGACCTTGCCCTTTGAGCGACCTTTACACCCTTGGCAGCGGTACTGGGCCAAGGGCCGGGCAGAAGGGAGCTTCACTCGCCGTTCCTGCATCGGCACAGAGGTCACAGAGAACTTCGTAGTGGAGTTGGAGCCCACAGCAGCCAGTGTTGGAAAGCTCATGGGTGAACAACACATCCGGCTAGAGAAAATCAAGCAGTTGAAAAAAAACATGGAAATTAGATAGCAAAGAAGTTTTCCAAATGCTGCATGACTTACAACAATGCAAGAGGCAGAAGAGAAGACATGACACTAAAATCGTGACCAAACAAAGGTGACGATTCATTGATTGCAGGCAATAAATCATGTTTCAAAATTTCGCGGAGTGATAGAAGGTCTCAAAGATCGTTGCAAGCCGACCAGAGTTATGTCAGTTATTACAAGGTATCAATAACTCTGTATTCCCGCAATGGAAGCATTCCAACAATCACTGGGTAAGATGAGCCCAGAGACACCAGAAACCCGCCTGGTACTTGTTATCCCGAGAAAAATCCAGCACCAAGGAACAAACCGACATTGATACGGGTTTACCACCGGTCTTTTAGAGTCTAGAAGCCTCTCGCTGGCATCTGATGCCCATAGCGGATATCATAAAACCGCTGCAGCCGTCTGCTGCAGACCCAAACCGGCCACGGGGACCGGTCAAACACACGGCTGTCTCTGTGGGACCTCGTGTCCCGGCTGCCGGCGTTCCCACTGCTCTCTCTCCTCTCGGTGAAGGTCAGGGGTCCATCTGCCGCGCTGGTCCCAGGTGCGGCCGGTCCGACCCGTCTGACGCGTCCAACAACAACATCCATTCCGACGACAATGGACAGCTAAATCACCACCACACCACGCTGATGGCTGAACAGCCACGCCATAAACACCCGAGAGAAGATAATTCGCCCGAGAATGTGACGGTCCGATGACAATGCACCGACGTCATGTCAATATTCTGGGGAGTTATCAACCAATAACGGGCGAGATTTCATGAACAAAAGCTCATTAGCACACAACTAGCTGACAGTCCATAAACAAGAATGCAGACGTGAATCAATAAAAAACATCAGCCTCTGCGCGTGGGTTTGGCAGGATTAACAAATTAAGCCTATTTTTACTGGATAAAAGATGCGAAGTTAACAGTTGTATGGAAAAAAAATGGGATGATCATTCTTATCTGAACACCAATTTTCGGACAGAATGTGACAAATGGGCAGTGAAATCGGATCGCTGCAATAGCTGAAATCAACTTCGACCCTGTGCATCCCGAAAAGCTTCAAGAGAAATTCCGAATAAAGGATTGAACATCCCGGACTAACCAAACCTCTCTGAACCTTTTCACAAAATAAATGTCATCAACGGACCATGACAGATTTTGCTCCATGGGGCTTGACTCCCTGCCATTTGTCTTTGCGGAATGACAATATCAACGTGATAAATCCGCAACCGAATCCAGCAACCCTGACGGCGAGCCTCCCACAGCTGCCCGCATTCCAAAATCAACGATCATTTCCAGAAACGAGCAATTTTTGTCCGAGCTTGAATGCTAGATTTCAGCATCCCTGTTCTTGTCAATGGTTGTCCTTCATTCTAAATCATCACAATGGAATGGAATTGCACGGGGCTGAGCCAACAGCAATGGCAGCACCGGCAGTGAACTGTGAAGGCGGAGGTGGAGGCGACGGGGTGAAATCAGCGCCATCTGAACCATCCGATCCACCCTTGGCTACCCACCACCGACAGACCGTTATAGAGGACAGGGCGGTCGCAGATCTGCGCGCCCTCTGCACCCCTGGCAGGCGGTGGCTGCCCAGTGGGTGGGGTGGTTCTCCACACAAACACAGCATCCATCAGCGCCGACTTCCATGTACCGGCGGCGGCCGAATCAGCATGTAGCTGCTGGCGCCTAATGGCTCTTGCACGAGGCAGGATTAGCCGCAGAGCCGCCACAGGCGCCCCGCACCGCTGCTCTGACATCGCAGCAGGAGGTCCAATCGAGTCCGAATCACTCCGAAATGGGGGCAATAAAACACCAACCTGTTTATTCAGCAGGGAAGCAGGCAATTGAGCGGATCCAACGATCTGGAAGTGAGCTGCAGAGCTCTATGAACCGGGTACCTGGAGCCATCCATCAGGCATGGCCCAACACCAATCGGACACAGCCAGAGACTCTGCCAAACTCGATGACACCGCAACATGGGGAGCATTGCCACATGCCACACATCAGAGAACATCAGAAACACTGGATAGCCAGCAGGCACTGCGATACAGGCCGTATTAACCCATCTTCTTTTCCCATGTGTTCATTGAAGAACCCTGATCTCTCCCCCTTCCCCTGTCGCTGGGTTAATTGCAGTACCGACTCTCTGTAACAGTGTAACAGTACCAGTTGCAGTACCCTGATCACCCCCAGTCCCCTGTCCCAGGTTTATCTATCAGAGGCGGTACCTTGAAGTCTGAGAGCGAGGCCATGAGGTCGTCCAGTTCCTGAGTGGCCGACGAGGCGGTCCGGCAGCCGTCCGGTACACTCTCTGTCACCGTAACCGTGCGCGTCTCGTACGTCCGCGCATTTCTGAGGAGAAAACACACAAAACAAATGGGTTAGAAAGCGGGGATATACACACCACACACTGTAGAGTTGTACACCAAGATGATAATTAGAGGGTCCAGCCTCAGTTATAACCAGGCTAAGATGATTTACAACTATGCACTGAACTGACGGTAGCGGATGTGTCATAATGTATGCGCTATGCAGATGAATCTTATGCAACTGACAAAGCTATGTGGTGCATAGATACATCCGTTTTGATAAACAGTTCGGTGCGGCAAGCTTGCAACAAAAGCAGCCGCGAACAGCGCTAGAGCAGTACAAACAAGTCAAGCCGGACATGGTATTTTTCGAGGCGAGAGGAGGCGATGTTTCATCTGTCAGTTCGACTCAGTGGAGAGGCATCCTGCGCTGGACCTCCGTCAACTGACGTCACACATGACGTGACGTCATTGCGTGACGTAAGCACGACGTCTAGTAAGCACGACTACAGTTAGTCAGAGCTGGGGAAGATGTATCTTGCCTTAGAGGTGAAGATGCAGTGTCATGTGAGGTGACACAAGCTGAGTCTGGCAACACTTCGTTGTGTCATATGTGACACCCAGCTCGCGCTGAGGTGCTACTAGCTGTGTCAAATATGACACACACTGTGTCAGAGATACCCAGCTGTGTCAGTGTCAGAGTTACACTCCGCTCTCTCAGAGGTGATACATGACACCCCTTGCGTCAGAGGTGCCCCCTGTGCCGGTGTCAGTCATGACACCCCCTGTATCCGAGATGCCCCCCCTGTGTCAGTGTCAGAGGTGACACCGTCCCCTGCAGTCAGCGGTTCGACACGCGCCGCCCCGGCCGCCTCAGGCATGGCAAACATGCCGACCGGTCCGCACGCCTTATAAGGCAGTTGGCTCGCCGGCCGGAGGGGCGGTGACGGGCAGTGACCATAGGTTACCGAACGGCAGGTCAGAAGGGGTAGTACGGAGTCGAGTGGGACGGTGGTCTGTTCTGTTGAAGAACTGGGACAGCGGCCAGGGTATGGGCGGAGGAGCTGTGACATGACAGTGCCATCTGTAACTTGGTCCAAATCCGCACATGACCTCACCCAGCCAATCCAGATTCCAACCACGTTCTTCAGTCCCAATTGCCAAAACTCCACAGCTGCATAGGTATACGCAACCAGACTATGCCAAAATTGAGGACATCCGGAATGCGATGCTTGGACATCACAGATTTTGTATCGTGCAGTGACATATTCGTGCCAATTTTGAAACCATGATCATGGAATGTCAGAAACCCTCTCTCATCCTGCATGGTATCGATTAGGCAGCCGGAGCGACATAAAAAGCTTAATCTCGACAGTCCCTAAACGAATCATATTACCGAAAATACACGCAGGAGGACCCATAAAACCCAAACTGGGACCATAAGCCAGTCAATTAATTACAGCCTTTTAGCACTTACTCGAACCACAAAGTACCGACCAGCTGAATGAAAAACTGATATCAGACGTAACCAGTAACCACGCACGTTAACCCTCGCCCGTAAACGGCGATCTGCCACCTTCGCCCATGCAGGGGGGGGGGGGGTTGGTGCGACCCCCCCCCCCTTGGCGTTTGAAAACGGAGCGTCGTAGAGCTTAGCGGAAAAGACCAACGGATTGCTCTCGCCGAGATCTCGCGATTGGTGGTATATTTTTTGGTCCTAGATCAACATTTGACCTACTTTTGACCGGTCAAAGGTCAAATTTTCGGAAAAATAGACTTTTTTCAACTTTCCGCGGCGATTGCGGCAAAACGGTGGGAGATATCGACTTGAAACATTCACTATCGTGTTCCTTGATCAATTCTCTATCGTTTGGTATGTATTTCGTTTCCCTAGCTCTAAAAATGGCGCGTTGGGAGCGCCGGAAGTCGGCAAGGTCACAGTCGGCGGCAGAAATTCGAAAAATCAAAATTTAAATTTTTGAAATCTGATTGTATTTTTGGATTTTGGAGGTCCATTTGCTCCCTATAGAAGCTAATATTGCTGCATATTCCCATTGAGGTGACAAGAATTAGCAAAATAGTGGTTCGGGCGCTTTTCAAAAATAGTACCGGACGCTGTTCCTCTTGTGACGTCATAGCTCCGTGACCTGACCTGACCCGGTCAAGTTTCTTATACCATATGATAGCCAATACTTGCCCCAACATGCATGGGAAGTTTCATCACGATCCATCAACCGATGTCCGTACCACCGGCAGGAAACCTCGGGCGTTGGCACTCAGTTTGTGAAAATCCGGCCGGAGGCTGTTCCCTTTGTGACGTCATAACTCCGTGACCTGACATGACCCGGTCAAATTTTTTTTTTATCAAAAGATGCGCAAGGTTTGCCCCATAAGGTACCCAAAATTTGGCGGCGCTGCGCGCCGCCGTTTTTGCAGTATTTCCGAAAAACCTCAGGGGGGGGGGGTTGCACCAACTCCAACTACTACTTAGAGAGCAGAAGAACGAAGATGGCTTCGTGTTAACCCTCGCCCCTACATGGGCGAGGGTTAACACGAAGCAAATTTGTCGAATCACAGCCACTCCTGTACTTTTATTGATAACCCACCCCATAACTGACAATCATCGGTGCGTTTTACGGCGATGGTTGGGTCCATCAGTTCCAAATCAGGTGTGACATCGGCAGTAGCGCCGGCGCCGCCCTCATCCTGACAGGTGTCAATGAGTTGACATGATCACCGGAGACAGCGTCTGACAATTGTGCAGACGCCGCCCGGGCGAGCGGAGCGGACGGGCGTCAAAGACGGGCTCTTATTGAAAAGATGGCTAAGTGCGAGGAATGCTCTTGAATAACGTGTAACGTCACGTTACTTAGCGATCACATTTAGGATGTGAAGCTACACGGACTGACTGGAGGCGACCTCTCATCGAAAAAGGCATGGCCTTTCATCTCCTGAGACCTGAAAACACTGAAAACGGGGAGTATCCAGCCCCCAAATTTCACCAAATGCAGGATACCAAATCTCTTCGGAGATGAATAGTGGCAATCAAGAACACGTCAGTTACGTGACCAAATGAGAGGAGGGGTAACTTTAGTAGTCAGTTGTATCAACACGGCAGCAGGTGCTGGTTCGTGTCGAATGTGGAGAGCGGCTGGCAACGGTTCAGTCGACGCCAAAGGGGGCGGTTAGCTCATTAGTAAAACGGCTTCTAAAGTTGGCAGGGCGTCAGGTGCGAAGTGCCAACCATTCGAGAAGTGAGTAAGAGGGGGAGAGAGAGAGAGAGAGAGAGAGAGAGAGAGAGAGAGAGAGAGAGAGAGAGAGAGAGAGAGAGAGAGAGAGAGAGAGAGAGAGAGAGAGAGAGAGAGAGAGAGAGAGAGAGAGAGAGAGAGAGAGAGAGAGAGAGAGCATCTCATTTCTGTGCAGTGTCCCCAGCGAACACCATCTGGACATCATCAGCACGACCTCGTAAACTCGGCACGCATCACACCGGAGACACGCCATGAGCGTCAAAGTTGAAACTGCGTGTGGACCGACAGTGGCCTCAGCAGTCGAGATGGAAAAGGGCCAGAGGAAGGTGCGATAAACTGGTGCCCAGCCAGACGAGAGTCGAAAAGAGCTGGACACCCACGAAAGAAGAACAGCAGGTGGAGAAGCTCGAGAATAAAAGGTAACAGTGAGCTCGCTGAGAAAAAAAGGTGAGCCGGAAGTGAAAACACTGGACGCTGGAGTCAATCCTGCGGCAGGCACCGCTACACCCTCAGCAGACCCACTCTGCCGACACGCCCCCCCCCCCCTCTTCACCTGTCCTCCCCCTAGCAGCTGCGCCGCTGCAGTGCTGACAAACGGACGTAGTGGCAGCGTGCGCCAGGACCGCAGACATGGCGCCGCCCACTCGCACAGACGCGACACGTGAAAATAGCAGCCACAATGTGTCACAGGAGTGCCGGAACTAGGATTAGTTCCGGCACCAGCCGACAGAACTAGAACACTTTGTAATCTAATGTTCCACTTGTGATGTTCCATGTAATGTTTCACTTTGTGATCTAAAAAACTGCGCCAATACTGAGAGCTGTCAACGCAACCAGGTAGGAGACAAGCCGCACCCTGGAAGCCTATCATACGAATCGGTCGCCATATTTCTTCATTTTCATATTATCATCTTCGGCAATCTACCGTCGGGAACAGCTCGATGCAACAGTCTCCGTATCGAGACTGACATCGTATCCATACGGACACCCACTGACCGTAAGGCGCCGGGCAAGGCCGGCAGTACCGGGTCTTTGACCCGTTGGTCGACCTCTGGAGAGAAGGCAGCGGCGTTGGCAGCCGCTGCGGCTCACTTGAGGTGTCAGTTCGTGTCACACCGACAGAGCTGCGAGTGTGGCAGGCGAACTGCAGAGCCGAGACACCGCCCTTGACGAATAAAGAGACCAGACGGAGACTCAGTGGGGTATTCCCGTCTCAGTGGGAAAGTGCGGGACCGGGATAGACTGTATGATACGACAACGCGATGAAACGGAGACGGGACGAGACGGGACGAAAGAGACAGCCGACAGACGGAGACAGAACGAGACAGACGGAGAGACGCGTCGGATAGGAGGGAGAGACGGACAGATAGACGAGAAGGACGGACAGACGGATAGACGCGAAGGACCGGCGAACGCGTCAGAACGGACGGAGCGGAACGGATGGGCGAACTGAGGTGGACACTGGAGCGTTGTCTGTCGGTTCTCAGGAATCGTATGCCAGAGGCGGATCCAGCTCAGAGTTTTTTTTTTGGGGGGGGGGGCAAACCATAACAATTTATCGATTCTTTCCATGCATCGTCCATAGGCGTAATGTTAAAATTATGCCGTTTGGGGGGGGGGGCAAATGCCCATTTTGCCCCCCCCCCTGGATCCGCCACTGTCGTATGCGACCGACAGGTCGCTGTTTCACTGGTCTTGGTCACCATAGCAAGAGGAGAGGGGGACAAGCCATGACCGTAAAAACGCAGAGATGCATCACAAGTAGACGGTAACACAAGTACTATTGCATGGCGTA